TATTTATGCCTGAGATGGTTGGTTTTCCTTTAGGTGAGCAGAACTATGGGCTCAGATGTGAATAGTATCCACCGGGTTCTGTCAATCACTTAAGCTTTCCCATACTGGCATTGCTGCAGACCCACAGACAAAGAGACAAAATGGCTTCCTTCACAGAGTTCACCTTCTGAAAGGGTTTGGAGAGCCATCTTTCCAAGGGTATTTATATTTGAAATGCAGAGCACCTCTTTGGAGGAAGAAACAGGTGCTCACCAGTAGGAAGGGGTGGTGTTCCCCACTGCCCATCTGTCCTGCAGTGTCTCCTGCAAACATCCATCTGGATGAGAACAGCTTACAGAAGCCATTAATGATTAAGTTATGAACCAAACTCAGGCTTCTAAAATGTCCCCAGCATGGGTGACAATAGGTGCTTCTCAGTGTATGTACAGGGCAGGGGCAACTCTGGAACAGTTAGTTCATCACCTACGTAACGTGGGAGATGTCAAGCCCTGCCGTCTGGTTGCATGCATGAATCATGGAGTCTGACTTCTGTGCCCTTCTAGGGTGTGTGTTTCTTGGGATTCCACACTCATTCCAGCAGAGTAGGAGGTCAGTTAGTAAAGGAGTTTATTGAACTGGATTCTCCTCTGCGTATGAGTCATTTTCTGGTGATGTGAAAAGGTGCCAGGAGGAGTGCTTAACCCTTTCAGCTCACAGGACTAAAACGCACAAAATCAGTGGGTCTGAGGATGCTTCTTAGCAGCTCAGAGAGCGAGCCATACATTTGGTCAGACAGGGAGAACTTTGAAAAAATGTGCCAGAAAATTATGTCCATCTTGATCCAACCGTGAGGATTTATTTTAATAACATAGATGGCTAAAAGATTTGTCAGATATTATGCTTAGTTTTCTGTTTTAAAAAATTCTTAGACATGACCCTCCTGCAGAAATCTGACATCTGGAAACTTCAGATGCCTGGAAGACAGCCAGAAACTAAGAAAGGGACTTCAGAGCACATGAAAACTGTTGAAAAACTCCCCACCAATGTGTGTTCTTAACCTCTGTGTGAATGTCAGCCTGCTATCTAGAGTTTGTTTACTTTTATTTATCTGAAAACTTTTAGTAAAGTTGTTGCTGTGGATTGTAAACAACAAACTAGAAACTGTGTTGAATTGAGTACGCAGGTGTACACATTTAGTCCCAACATTTGGGAGGTAGAAGCAGGTGGATTTCTAGAAGTTCAAGGCCACCCTTGTCTACATAGCAAGTTCTAGCCAGGGCTACATGATTAAGACTCTGTCTCAACAAAATAAAAACTAAGAAAGGGGTGGAAAAGCTGATTGGAGGATGAGGTGGCTGAAAAGATAATTTAGCAGTTAAGAGCACTGGCTGCTCTTCTGGAGGACCCAGGTTCAATTCCCAGCACCCACATGGCAGCTCACGATCATCTGTAACTCCAGTTCCATGGGATCTGACATCCTTTTCTGCTAGGCACAGACACGTGTGGTGTGGGGACATACATGTATGAGGCAAAACACCCATATACATAAAATAGAAATAGGTAAATCTGTAAAAAAAAAAAAATGAAGCCGATGAAGGAGATCAGCTGAAAGCCGAGGCAGGCTGGCACCACAGGAGAAAGGTCTGGGTCTTGTAACTGTCTAGGACTGTGGCTTCGGTTAACTGCAGCACAGGACTGTACAGCCGCAATAATGAACTTGCTTCCGGCAGTCTGAGTAAGCCATGCTCTTTCGGTGTCTTCTTTGGGAGATGTCAGAAAGGCACAAGATATGTTTTGTTTCACTTTTCGTACAAGATCTGACTACTTAGACCAGGCTGGTCTAGATTTCCAAGTTCTCCCGTCTTGGCTGTTGGAGTTCTGGGACTTATGGGCATGTGCCATCCCACTTGACCCCATGTGGTTATTTTAAAACATGGTCAAGGTTAAACTAGCCATGTTGAAATAGTAAGTATTGACGTGTTCATCTACTTGAAGACAGTGCATTCTTTGGTGACCAGTGGCACAGATTTGAACTCGTAGTTAATTGTGGAAGTGATTTGTAATAGGCACTAATGTTTATTGAGAAGCTACTATGTCTGTCATGTTCTCTGTGAATTCATACAGCGTACTGGGCAAGGCTTTGGTGACAGACATTTGGATTCCCATTCTGTCTCTGACTTACTGTGTGACCTTAGACAGAATTTATCACTTCTTTGAACCTGTGTCCTCATTTGCCCACTGGGAACCAGGAATAAGTGGGTAGGTCATCGTGAGGACTCATTGACGTGGCACACAGTACAGCCTGTGGCATGAGGAAGCACTGTGTCACCATTGGTCACTGATCTTTATCATTATAGTCACCCTCATGATGGTTACTGTGGAAGTATTGGCATCTTCATTTCTCAGGTCATGGAATGAAAGACCCGAGAGTTTAAGCAATGTGTCCAGGGTGGATAAGCTAATGAATAGTAAAGCCAGGATTTGAACTTGGCTCTTCATCACCGAAGAAGCCTAGTGTTTTACATATACACTATGCTATCGCTTCAGAGTATTTTATACAAATATTAGATTTGGGATTTTTTCTTTTTTCTTTCTTTTTTTTTTTTTTGTCTGTTAGTTTTGCTTTTAAAACAGGTTATCACTATGTAGCCCTGGCTTACCTGGAGCTCATTATATAGACCAGCCCGGCCTCCAACTCACAAAGGTGATTATCTCTCTGCCCCTTGAGTGCTGGAATTAAAGGCATGAACCACCAGGCATAGCTAATTAGATGCTTTTAATAGATGCTCAGTAGTATGACACTTGTCTAACATGCAAGAGGCCCTGGGTTCTGTGCAAAGCACCATAAAAGGAAAAGTGAAACCAGAAAGCCTGAGGTAGAAGGGTGCGAGGAGTACAGTGGTCACTTCTCTTTTTGGCTGTGGCCCCAGTTATCTCATTATTGAAAGAAAAAAAAATCCCAGCAATACAAGAATCAGCTACTTTGACCCAACAGTACAAATCAAATGTGTAATATTTAATTATGGAGCATCAGTAAATTATCAATATACTGCTATTTATTCAATGCTTCCTACATTTTTTCACAGCAGTGAAAATCAGAAGCCACAGTTGTAGCTTATTGTTTTATTTTCATTAGGCATTTGGTTCTTTTTTAAATATTTATATATATATACTTATTTACACACACACTCTCTCCCTATCTCTCTCTCTCTCTCTCTCTCTCTCTCTCTCTCTCTC